CCACACGGAGTCGGCCGCTTGCTTCCCGGCGCGGAACTTTTACTTTCCCAACAAAGCTGATATATTCTTTCACTGCTATAGGATGCCTCCTTTGAAGATAGATATGATGGCTATCTGACTTTGGCAGAATATGTACAAGACTTCCTAAATCACCTCACCGAGCAACCAGGTTGTTTTGAAACTGAAACAGAACAGTTTGCCGAAACACTGAATGGCTGGATCATTGCAGATGAAGCTTTACAAGAACTTGTTGAACTCATCTATCACCAGGTAGTCAGTGTATTCTGTCTTATAACTTGGATATTATGCCTCTGTTTACTTGTGTCCGAGATGTGTACCAGTGTTATTGGTATCCATGTGGTATTTTAATGGTTTGCTTTTTGTTTTTTTTCCTTTTAGACTGAAACATACAGGGTAAGATTTTGCTCAATAAATTGAGATGGTAGCTCAAATGTGGGATACCTGGATGACATACATTTCCCCAGTTTGCTGTTTTCTTTGTTATATATTTGTATCTCCTGGGTAACATACTGCAGTTGAAATTACAGCACTTTACTAAGGGAAGTTGTATCTGAATTGCTGTATTTATATAGCAAAGTCTGAAGAAGCTCTTAAGCAATGTCAGCATTGTATATTTTTATTCTATCCTGAAAAAGAAGTTTCTTCATAATACTAAAATACTTTTAATTCCTTGGTATTTTAAAAAATTAAATTCATACTTACTGTACACATCACCCTTTGGGAAATGCTTCTTTATTGACAGGCTTTCTTCTTTATTTGGAATGTACCTATTTCAGAACAACATAACTGGAGAAAAGGAAAGCTCATCTAATGAGTCCAGTCCCATTGATGGCCATGGAAATGAGGACAGAGACCTTGAGCTGAACTCTGTACTAATTGGGGGAGCCATTGGAAAGAACAGCTTAATATGTGTTGCTTAGCAAATGAGCTGCTGTTACTGTCTTTTGGGCTCACTGCAGAGAATGAAGTCACGCTTCTGCTTGCTATTTATTACATTGGCTGTCTCACACTTTCATGGGTTTGTTGCTTTCAAGTTCTACCTTGAATGCAGACTTTTATTCAAGTGCAGATACCTGCAGGATATTTTCATCTGGGGTATGCAGAAGCAGAATGACTGGTTGGTCGTTGTACAGAACTGTAGAGTCTCAAGTTTCTTATTATCACCCAGAATTAATGCATATTCAATTGAGAACAGTTCAGTTAGACTTTCAGATCACCTGTGCTGTGTTTGGAAAAATCATTTTCCCATCCTTTATTTGAACCCATGAGGGATAGTTATAAAAAGATGAAAAATTGCATGTAACTTTATTGGGAGAAAATAATGAGGAATTTATCCTGGGTTTAACTTCCTGTATTTTAAATACATTGACTCTCGTGTAATCTAAATTTTTGATGTTGCCTCTTCCTTTCCCTTCCTATTTGAAAACAAGTCCAGCGTGTTTGTTGTCTCTTCCTCAACTAAGAAGCGAAGTGTTACCAGACAGAAATTAAGTGAAAAATAAAACGTAGTGCAAGCAAAGCTAGGCTAGTGTCCAAAATTGTCTTAAGTTTTGATTTGTGTATGTGGGGGTAGGATGGTGTTTGAGTGTAAGTGAATTATGCTTATTTTTCTTGAGCAGAGGCTCAAGGGTTTGTTTCCTGGCTTGTTAGAAAATAAAATTGCTTAAGTTTATAAACATCTGCTTCAGTGATGTTAAATTAACCCAACTAAGCAGGTTTACACATGGTAGGTTTATGAAGGGAAAGTACTAAAATGAAGTAAACCCAAGTCCTGTACAGTGTTCCCTTCATATATGTGTCAGGTATCTTAGCCTGTCTATAAGTAATAATTATATACTTCCCCCGTTCTTCGCTTATGTCTGTGGACATAGGAAAGTGCCAATTCACTTGTTTTCCGAAAGTTGGGCACTCTGACTTTATAGCTTAAGAATCTTTACTGTTGCCTAGTTAATGCAGTGCCTGTTACAGCAATTAAAATTTCTCAAGGTAGATAGATTAGCCTTCCTGCTTAGATTGTGAATTTTTTGAGTGGTAGATAAAATAGGATTACCAGCAACAGTAGTTCAGGGACATGATTTTGCAGTATAATGTTTAGTTATTAAGGACATAGAAGGTGGATAGTTTTTTGGTCAGGGTGTGCTGTGCCAGATCATAATACCTAAAATTTAATTATCTCAGTTTTTGATGCAACTCATAATAGAGGCAAACAATTAGGAAGATAATATTTTAAATATACATATGAGGTTTGAAGAATTTGTGTGTTTGAGTTTTTGTTTGTTAGGGGTTTTTTTGTTAGGAAAGAGAAGTGTAATTTAAGTGATGTATTGTGCTTTATAGGAAAGGGGGCACCTCTTTTAGTCAAAGCAACTGATTTTACCAAAGCAATAAAACCTTGTTAGCTAGTTCATATGCCTCTTACTGGAAGCTGAATTCTATTCATCTAGCTTAGTTGATTAAACTTGTTGTATCTTCCAAAGGCACTTAATTTTTTTTCAGCGACTCTATGCACATAGCACAGTTACATGAAGTGCATATTTTTCTCTGCCTGTAAAATGTAGCCAAGCTATAGTGCATTGGCATGCTAATGGCAGGATGTGTTTTCCAAATATGTCGGTACCCAAAACATGCAAACATATCTACAGCACTGATAGATGATCAGTGGATAAAAAGAATGTTCAAAGATGATGTAGCCATAGAAGAAGTTTAATGAGTTCTTAGTATCTTTGTTTTCTTTTTGGCTGAGCTGATGAAGCTATTTGCAGCAGAACCTCTTACCACTGAGGCTGCATCTGAGAAATAATCTCAAATTCGAGTCTTGTTAGAGGAGAGTTTAAAGCAGGTGAGCAGTAATAGATTGCCACCTCTTTAAATTTTGAAGTATCAGAATAAAAAAATAATTTTTTAGACATCATCATTGTTACCTCCTGTTTTTAGATGACAAAAGTGTAAATGTTCAACAGTAACAGGACTTGTTTTAGAAAAAAACAGACCCATCAAGAGCCATTAACTGTAATGATACAGTTTTAACCTCTGAATTAGGAGTTTGTTATTGCAGATTGCTGGAACATATATGGGAGAAGCTATTTCTCT